CAATCGCGGCATGGCACATCGCAATTCAGCACGGCGCAGCACAGCACAGCACTCGGCACAGGTGTCTTTGAAACGTTGCCATGCCTTACATTTCTATGTTCCTTTCCCGGTTCGTGGGTCGATCATGTTTTTCCTGGAAAGGGCGCTGGCCCAGTGTTCTCCTTTGGAGGTTGTACCCTTGGGGACGATTTGAGACGGGTCGGCGAAATTATGTTATGTTGTTTTCTGCGATAACTGACGAGGTCGAGACGGGCCGTCGAGCGGCCTGGGTGCCCCAGGATGCCCAGGTGGTTCTGGGAGCCCGGACACAGCGTAATTTAGCAAGGAACGTGGCCCCGGGAGCGCAGACGCAACGTAATTCACGAGGGAGCGCAGCCCTGGGAGCGTGGACCCAGTGTAGTTTACGAGGGACCGTTGTCCAGGGAAAGCGGACGCAGTGTAATTTACGAGGGATCGTGGCCTTGGGAGCGCGGACCTAGCGTAATTTACGCAGTGTAATTTACAATGGATCGCGGCCTTGGGAGCGCGGACGCAGTGTAATTTACGGGGGATCGTGGCCCTGGGGGAGGCGGACACAGTGTAATTTACCAGGGATCGTGGCCCTGGGAGCGCGGAGACAGTGTAATTCACAAAGGAGCGCGGCCTTGGGAACGCGGACGCACCGTAGTTCACTGGCGAACGTGGCCTTGGGAGCGCAGACGCAGTGTAAATTATGATAGATCGTGGCCCCAGGAGCGCGGACGCAGCGTAATTCACGAGGGATCGTGGCCCTGGGAGCGCGGACGCAGAGTAATTTACGAGCAATCCGGGGGGGGGCGGACATAGTAATTTACTAGGGAGGGTGGGCCTGGGAGCGCAGAGCCAGCGTAATTCACAATGGAGTGCGGCCCTGGGAGCGCGGACGCAGCGTAGTTTACGAGGGATCGTGGCCCATGGAGAGCGGACGTAAAGCATTTCACGGGTGATCGTGGCTTTGGGAGCGCGGACGCAGTGTAGTTTACAGTAAGTCGTGTCTTTGGGAGCGCGGACGCAGTTTAATTTACGATGGATTTTGGCCCTGGGTCAGGGGCGTCCCGTGGCACAATCCCTGACGCGTTCCTTGGCACATGCCCTGGTGCGTCGCCGGGCACCCGCGGTGCGTCCCCATGGCACGTTCCCTAGCACGTCGCCTGGCGCGTCTCTTGGGACGTTCCGCGGCGCGTCCCCCTGGCATGTCCCCATGTCGATTAGCTCTGGGGCAGCTCGAGCGGTCAGAACTCGGATGCAAAGGAGGACTCGATCCACAATGCTATAGAGTACAATCGCGGCATGGCACGTCGCAAGTCAGTACGGCGCAGCACAGCGCAGCCCTCGGCACAGGTGTCTTTGAAACTTTGCCAGCTATTATGTGCTCAGGCAGCTCGAGGATAAGATCCAGATCAGTTCGGTCAGGACTCGGATGCAAAGGAGGACTCGATCTACAACGCTATAGAGCACAATTGACAATCGCGGCATGGCACATCGCAATTCAGCACGGCGAAGCGCAGCACAGCCCCTGGCACGTTCCCTGGCACGTGGCGAGTCCCCTTAGCACGTCGCGCGGCGCGTCCCCTGGCCTGTCCCGTGGCACGTCCATTGGCACGTTCCGCAGTGCGTCCCTTTGGCAGGTCCCGCGGTGCGTCCCCGTGGCACGTCCCCTGGCGCGACGCTTGGGACGTTTCGCGGCGCGTCCTCCTGGCATGTCCCCTTGTAAATTAGCTCTGGGGCAGCTACGATGTGCTTAGGCAGCTCGAGCTTAAGATCCAGATCAGTTCGGCCAGGACTGGGATGCAAAGGAGGACTCGACCTACAGCGCTACAGAGCACGATCGCGGCATGGCACATCGCAATTCAACACGGCGCAGCGCAGCACAGCCCTTGGCATGGTACATCAAGATCGATACATTCAGCATTGCAACCTGGCCCGTTCCGTGGCGCGTCCCATAGCGAGTCCCCCTGGCACGTCGCGCGGCGCGTCCCCTGGCACGTCCCGTGGCACGTCCCCTGGCACCTTCCGCGTCCCCTGGCACGTCCCCTGGCGCGTCCCTTGGGACGTTTCGCGGCGCGTCCTTCCTGGCATGTCCCCGTGCCAATTAGCTCTGGGGCAGCTATTATGTGCTCAGGCAGCTCGAGCTTGAGATCCAGATTAGTTCGGCCAGGACTCGGATTCAAAGGAGGACTCGACCCACAACGCTATACAGCACAATCGCGGCATGGCACACCGCAATTCAGCACGGCGCACCACAGCGCAGCCCTCGGCGGCACGGTACATCAAGATCGATATACTCAGCATTGCATTTGCCCGTCGTCCAATCAGGTGTCTTCGAAAACGTTGCCATGCCTTACATTTTTATATTCCTTTCTGGGTTCGTGGGTCGATCATGTTAACCCGTCTCCTCCTCCCCCTCTTGCACCGGAGGAAATGGGTTGGACCTCCCTCCTCCCTCCCTCCCCTCTGCGCTAGAGAGGAGGACAGGGGTTCAACCCCTACAGCCTCGCCTGTTCGGAGCGCGTTCTGGCGTATGGGAAGTGGTGTCAGGGTTACGGCCAGGCTTAATTAAGTCGGGCGTGTCCCTCTACAGGCGGAATATTCAAAGATAGTCAACAACAAATATTATGGGGACGATTTTATACTACTTCTGACATGTTTAAAATATTTTCCCGGAAACAGCGTGGGCACAGGGTTCTTTTTTAGGGGTGTTCCCCCTGGCCTCGACGGCTGTATGGCCGGCGAATATGACTTGCGATAAATATCCAGGTCGAGTTGGGCCGTCGAATTAAATTTTGAGGATGTCCCGAGAGAGACGCTTGTTATGCAGAAATTGTTGAGGATGCCTCGAGCGAAACGCTTGTTTTGTGTTAGGTTTTGTCATCTCCTGGGGACCAGAATTCAACGTATCTCTCAAGTGGAGTACTTGTTTTCACGTGCCCAGGTCTTGAGGATGTTTCGAGCGAGACGCTTGGTTTCACGCGTCCAGGTTGCCCAGGCGGATGTCTAGCATGAGGATGTGTTGAGGATGTCTCGAGCGAGACGCTTGTTTTCACGCGTCCAGGTCGCCCTGGCGGATGTCTAGCATGAGGAGGTGTTGAGAACGTCTCGGGCGAAACGCTTGTTTTCACGTGTCCAGGTTGAGGATTTGGGCAGGATGTCTTGAGCGAAACGCTTGTCCCCAGCAGGTTCGGTAGCGCGTTGCCTGGCGCGTCCCGTGGGACGTTCCGCGGCGCGTCCTCCTGGCATGGCCCCCTGTCAATGTTAGTTCTGGGGCAGCTATTATGTTCTGAGGCAGCTCGAGCTTAAGATCCAGATAAGTTCGGCCAGGACTCGGATGCAGAGGAGGACACGATCCA